GCCGTGCGCGGGGCCCCGGCCAAACAGGCCGACGACAGCCGGCCGCCACACCACAAGAGCAACGCACATTGTCATTGTGCATGAGCAGGATGTCCCCGCCGACCACCTGGTTGAAGACACCGCCGGTGCCGAGGGCGGTCGGCTGGCCCGGGGCCGGGATGTTGCGCAGCAGACGGCCCAGCCGCCCGTCCTTGGCCAGCTCGAAGGCAATCAGCGAGTAGGTGAACTCGTCGAAGTTGTACGTCAGGTCCGAGTAGAAGGTCTCCGAAGTCCAGGAGGCCGCCGGGTTGTTGAGGCTGATGGCCTGCTGGGAGGCCGGCCGCGGGTCGTAGCCCTGGGCCCCGCTGCAGACGCCCCGCAAGGCGGCCAGATGGGTCCGGGGGGGGATCACCCGATTGGCCTCCCAGAAGCGCTCCGGCCGAGGGTGCAGGACCTTATACAGGAAGAGCCCGCGCACGGCGGCGAAGGGGGCATCGAAGAAGATGACCGACAGCAGGGCGCAGAAGACCGTAGAAGAGGAGGCTGCAGGGGAGTCGTGGGGGGGGGGACGAGGATTAGAGAGGGGAGACCGGCCCAGGCCCCCGCGGGGGCGGAGGAAGACAAAACAAAAAGCCAACACCCCAAGCACTGGGAAGGGGGGAGGCGCGTGTCGAGGGACCGACGCACCCACGGAGAAGATCGGCAGCGCCAGCAGGTGGAGGAAGCTCAGCTGCGAGAAGCTGGACAGCTGCAGCGAGATGTAGATGTTGTCGCTGAAGCGCCAGAAGAAGGTCATGACCAGCTGGCACACCGAGTAGGTCATGGGGAAGGAGGCCACCACGACCGGGGCCATGGCGCGCACCGACCTCGGGAAGAGGTAGGGGATGCCGAACAGCTGGTCGGCCGGGGTGGGCTGCGAGCCGGCCAGGAAGCTCACCGACGGCAGGTACAGCAGCAGCGCCAGGAGCATGATGTAGTGGCTGCGGGCCGAGAGATTGCCGAAGGACGACCGGAGCATGCGCAGGACGAGCATGCTGAGCAGGATGTGCACGGCACTGGAGGCCGGGGCGGGGGCGGGGGCGG